GAGAGAGAGAGAGAGAGAGAGAGAGAGAGAGAGAGAGAGAGAGAGACAGAGAGAGACAGAGAGAGAGACAGAGAGAGAGATTAACAGAGTAGATGCCTCATGGGCTACAGACTGAGGAAGGGCCTCCTGACCTAAGTATCTCTGCCCATGTAAAAAGACTCTATATGCAAATTTTTTACTCAAGCCTTATATTCAAATTCTGTCCTCTGGCTGTGGGAGCTCACAGATCTCTCCTGAGACAGTGCCTTGACTTCTGGGAAAGGCACGGTAGACACCTAGAGGATGAGGCATTGGGCTCTTCTCCTGTGCCTGGTGACAGTTCTCCAAGGTGAGTGTCCTCAGCGTCGCAGATGGGTCTGAGGGGAGATTCTGACTTCGGGTGAAGAAAAAGACGAATTTCGCTCGTCCCCCAGGTGTCCTGTCCCAGGTGCAGCTGCGGGAGTCTGGCCCTGGCCTGGTGAAGCCCTCACAGACGCTGTCCCTCACCTGCTCCGTCTCTGGATTCTCCATCGCCACCAGTGGTTACTGCTGGGACTGGATCCGTCAGCGCTCCGGGAAGGGACTGATGTGGATGGGGCGGATATGTTGGGATGGAAACACTAAATACAGCCCTACCTTCAAGAGCCGCGTTTCCATCACCAGAGACGCGTCCAAGAATGAGTTCTTCCTAGAGCTGAGCGCTGTGACCACAGAGGACACGGCCGTGTATTACTGTGAAAGACACACAGTCAGGGAAGCTCAACATGAGACCAGACAAAAACCTCCCTGCGAGGGCGTTCTCGACCAGCAGGGGGCGCGTAGTACACACTGCTGTAGAGAACAAATCTCAGCAGTGCGAAGGAAAGCCTAGAGGATTTTCTCTCCAGCGTCTCCTTGAAAACCCCCAGACACGCATATTTCTGAAGTTTTATGTCTCTGATCACATAATATTATGGTTTCATAGAATTAGTTGTCTATGTTTGCTCCACATTAAATTCATTTTCAGTGGTAATTTTTTTTTAAATGCAATTATCGTTTATACCTGCATTGACTTTACCGACTCTTTAGTTTTCAGGTTTAGAAACAATGAACCTACAAAAGTGTTTTTTGATTGGCCGAAAGTCTGCTTTAAATCCTCAAATGCATCTGCAGGGTGATTTGTATAAATTAAATACTGACAGTTATGACTTTCAGAATGTCATCCTGAAAGGCACTTCCCTATCCATGCAAAACCCTTTACACTGAATGGGTGGACATCCTTCTATGTATTAATCTGAGTGTGCACATATTACTGGAGATGCTTAGTTCCCTACCTTTGAAGATGTTGGGCAATGCCTTGGACATTTTGTATTTATCCAACTGTGGTGTGGCTTCTCCTGGCATCGAGTTGGTACAGACCCTCAGTGCTTTCACACATCTTATAACCACAAGGTTGCAAACCAATAATTAACCTGGACCTGATCTCAATAGTGTTAAGATGCAGGAGCTTCAACGTAACATCTTAGAACTAATGAGTGTTTGTACTGCAAAGTGAATCTGATATATTCACACTATCCTTAAAGAAGTCTGGAAACCATACTAGAGCTCATCTTCCATGTGCTTAGGGTCACTGGCATCCACCTCTTGGTCATCTGTCAGTTGCTATGGGAACAGTGACCTAAGGATGGATCCATGCAAGTACAGGGTTGACTGTAGTGGACTTGAGAAGGAGAAGAAGAAAGAGAAGGCCAAGACCAGCACGGAGTACAACTCCAAGGTCAGTTCTGGCCGTGCCCACATGAATCCCCGAGGACAACACTGGTCAGGCCTAGACTGTCCCACTTAATATGAAATGATTCAGAGCCTTCGGATCACAGGGATCTGCAGCCATAGTAAAATATTATCGGAATCATTCCCTAAGATACAAACCATTGAGGAAAGAATGGCTACTTAACAAGAAATCGACCATTAACATGGGGGTGGTGAACTCCTTGGGACTAGAGCAAGGCCAGTCCAGCAGGCGTCAACCTCGCCACTCCTCTCTGCTTACTATAGCACAGAGCTCTGAGAACATTTCATTTTCAGAGTTCTTGGAAAAACACTGCACTTTTGATGCCATGACACACGTCTCCCCTTTTTCTGTGTATAAAGACAGCACCCAAGCTGGGTTGCCTCTGCCTGTCCATCACAGAGGTCAAGCCTCAATTACCCCAGATATCCTTTCAGTATGTGTCTAGGTTTTCCTTAACTTCCCATCATCCCCTCTCAGGACATTGCTGGCTGTGTGGGCCAGGACAACAGTAAATGCTTATGGAGTTCTGGAGAATGAAAGGAACCTTTCTCCACTCTTATGGGGAGTGAAGGCTGGTGCAACCACTCTGTAGATCAGTGTGCAGATTCCTCTAAAAGCTAAGAACACAAGGTCAGTTTTACCCTGCTATTTCCCTTCCTGATAAAATTTAAAGCATCATTCAACAGTGATATATGGGCACCCATTTTTATAGCAGCACAGTTTGTAGTAGTTAAATCTTGGAAACAATCCAAATGCCTATCAACTGATGAATTAATGAAAACAATGTGTTTGTTTCTTTTTTTCTTTTTTTTTTTTTCTTTTTTTCTTTTTTTTTGCGGAACCAGGGATTGAACTCAGGCCCTTGTGCTTGCCAGGGAAGCACTTATTCCACTGAGCCATTTCCCTGGCCCCAATGTGTTTGTTTCTAATACAACATAGTACTCAGCCATCATAAAGAAGGATAAACTTGGGACCTTTATAAGTAAAGGGGTGGACCTTGAATCCATACTCTTAATAAATTGAACACACATTTGTAAATACCACATTGTCCCTCTGGTATGAGAAACAGAAACTCTAAATAATAAAAGTGCATAATAAATAGTGTGAAACAGGAAGAAATTCTTT